ACACGTGTCAAGCAAAATCGGCCCCATACTGACCGACAGCTGTGGGATCTGGGTGGTGGGTGTGTGGGTCACCATCCAGTTATCATTTCTACCTGAGCGCTTTAAAACTTTTGCAATAAAATGTGTGGAGGAAAACCCTGCCACGCTGGTGACGCTCCTTCTTTGCGAGGGCTCCTGGGCTGGCCCACGCGGGAGTCCTTCCTGGTCGGATTGCGCTGCTGGGCAGTCCTCTGTGGGGCCAGAAGGGAAGCCTGGAGCCCCCTGCTTCCCCTCCTTTGGCTCTGGCTCTTCTACCGGGAACAGGGAACACAGGACCGGCGCCTCTCGGGGTTCACGTCTGCAGCATCTGCCCCCGTGTCTGATGCAAGCCCTCCGTGAGCATCTCGACGATCCCGGGGCCGCACAGCAAGGCTGGAGGCGAAGCCTTGGCTCGCTACCGGCCACCGAATGCCCCTTCACAGACCTGTGTCCGCGTGAGGGGGCCTGGGTAGGGCAGTGCCCCGTGCTGACCCTGTTGGATGTGTTTTTACAGGTGAAGACACGTAAATCATGTTTGTCGAAGTGCAGATCCAGAAAGCTGACAGAGGGGAGGCAGTGCGTGGAACCAGGAATCAAACTTTTGCTGGTGGTGAGCAAGGATCCGCTGACAGAGATGAGGGCAAAGCGCCTCTAACCTCAGGAAGGACAGGCGGGGACGCGGGCATCCGGGGCCACAGAAAACACGAGCCGACCTCGTGGCTTGTGATGTGTGGACAGCGCGGTGGGTGTGGACAGGTCAGGGATGAGCCCCCCACTCCTGGCGAGGTCAGTCTGTTCGCTGCACCAGGCAGGGAGTGCTGCTGCAGACTGGAGGCAGCCGCCGCACCGGGGCTTACGAGCCTGCGGTCTGGCTCCGAGGGAAGCAGTGTAGGGAATATAAAATCTGAGCTGTGACAGGTTAAGTTGTGCCGACGGTCACTGCAGCTCCCAGCCCGGGTCCTGGAGGCACGGACAAGCTGCTGGTGGGGGACGTGCCATTGCGGGCACGTTGTCTCTGCCACGTCAACAAACCAAAGCCTGCCCCACTCCGAAGAGAGAGATTCTGCTGGGTCTGAGACAGGAACTTGTGTGGCCCTGTAACTTCCTTGTCGAGGGGACACCTGTGTGCAGAGCCTCGCACACAAGAGGGAAGGAATCCTGCTTGCTTATCAGATTTGGGAGGCGTACCCATGACCGATCACGACAGGTAAACCAGGGCAGGTCTGGGTCACTCACACTAACTCAGAATATCCCTCTGTGGGGATTCCGCTTAGAGTTTAGAAAAACAAATGTAAACCAAAGGTTTGTTCGGAAAGAAATTATTTCCTGTGTGTTTTAAGGAAAGCAATGCTCAGCCCAAGGACTGCTGTACTGTGTGAATTTGGGATATTCCTTTCCGTGGAAGTTTGAAATTTTTGTGCATTTTTCCAACATGGAAAATCCCAGGCAAGCGCACAAGCCTGTAGGGGCGGTGTGCCCCCAGCAGAGGGTAAGGGTTTATGCCCCAGTGCCCTCGTCTGTCAAGTGCAGGGGTGACTCCTGCAGGGACTCGAGGTGACAGGCCTTGTGCGGGGCACCCGGGGCTGGGGTTCACACATGGCCGAGCCCGGTGCCGCCCCAGTGCCCTGACCTCTGCGGACGGCCAGACGGGGTCAGCCGTCCTCCCCAGGGCTGCCGGGCTGGCTGGGGTCTCTTTAGCAACAAAGCCAAACTGTGAGCACGCTGCTACGTGCTTTCCCTCTGTCTCTCCATGTCTGCATCCTGAGCTGTTCGCTTTCTGGTTTCACCTCTAAGTAGTTTTTTGTCTCCATCTAATTCTCGGTCTTGTTTTTGTAACACAGAATAAAAAACATTTTTTGTTTTGTTTTGTTTTGTTTAAAACGGTGCACCAAAACAGCATCATTCTCCTGTTCTTAATTTAAAGAGCAGATGAGCAGAATACTGCATAATTCTTTTTAAAAGTACAAATACATTTAGAAAGCATATTAGATTCTTTAAACTTCTGAAATAACATGGCTACACCCGGCCCAGCGTCAGTTAATCTCCTCATAAATTCTCCTTTGACGGATACACTGGAAGTAGCTGTGGGACCGCCAGGCTGTCGGGGAGAGGCTGATGTCCCGGCCACTTCTCAATCTCCTGCACGACCTGCCAGCCTAAGCTCCAGGAGGCGGGAGAGATGTCTCAGACGGGCCCCGGACGCAGGAAGATGCGAAGGAGGGTGGAAGGCGCGGGGGTGTGTGCAGGTCATGCCCTGGGCCTGGGAAGCTGCAGAAGTCCAACTGGTGGACCCCGAAGACGCCGACTGGCCCTCGATGGGGAAGTCAGGCAGTCACTTCCGCCCCTGGGGTGGAGGAACCGCTGAAGAAGGGCTTCCTTGAAGGGACAGGTGTGGAGGCAGGAGGACGGGAGGCCCAACCGCGGGGGTCCCGCCTGGGGTATCTAAGAACCCGTCAAATCGGCAACCTGGGAGCTTGGTGGAAGGGACGGGGAGGGTGCTGGGGAAAGCCAGCTCCGCTCCCACCCGCCAGCGTGGACGCCGGGAGGGGTGCGTTCTGCGCTGACGGCCCCGGCCACCTGCTCACGGGGCCCACACTGGCCTGCAGAGGCCAGAGGCGCGGGAAGCCCACCCTCAACACCTTGCCGTCCCACCATGGGGCCGATTCTGTGCCACGAAGAGCGTGAGCACCTGGCCACAGGAAGCAGGGTTTCCGAAAGAGGAGGTAGTTATCTTCCGTGCAGTCTGGCAAGACAGACCGAGACATCAGCTTCTCTCCACGCCACCCCCTGCATCCTGCTCGGGAAGGGGTGCAGGCTGAGATCCGATGGTAAGACTCCCCTGACAAGCGAAGGTGGCCAGTATCGGGGAGACAGGGCGATTGCTACGGGTCATCCACGAAAATGCTTCTGGGCCAACCCTGGCCTCCGTGGCCCACACAGCTGCCCCTTCATGACCCCGGGACAGGGAGGAGCCCGGCCAGGCTGCTGGAGACTGGCCACCTATCCCCAGCGCCACAGGAAGAAGGAAGAGGCTCTGGTCAAAGGGCAGGTGTCGGGGCTCCCACGGCCTTGGGACCGGGTGCCCCACCGTCACGAAGGTCCTGTGGGCACAGGGACTCCATGGGCCACCTGCCGCAGTCTGGGCTTTCACTGTGGGAGGGGTGTTGGAGGAAGAGGCTGTGAGTTTTAGTATTTACCATACGGGACCCAGTAGTCCAAGTAAGCGACCAAACCCAGGGAGATGTTCCATCGAAGCTTGTGGACTATTTGCCCCAAACAGCTACGTATCCAAGGCTCAGGCCAAAACCTCCCCACCTCCCCACAGCGGCCCCGGGTTGATCATCACACCTCCCAGCCTGTCAGTGGCTCCCACACACAGTAGGTGCTTAATAAATATGTTAGTCAATTGTGGGTTCTTTGTTACTTTCCTTCTAAATATGGAAGCTCTTATTTTTGTTTTTAAAAAATTTTTAAAGATTTTATTTATTTATTTGAGAGAGAGAACAAGAGGTGGGGAGGGGCACGGGTAGAGAGAGAGAGAGAGAGGGAGAAGCAGACTCCCGGCTGAGCAGGAGCCCAACTCGGGACTCGATTCCAGGACCCTGGGATCATGACCTGAGCTGAAGGCAGGCACTTAACCAACTGAACCACCCAGGTGCCCCTAAAAGCTCCTATTTTTAAAGCTCTTCAGGGAAAAACCCCTCACACCTCATGGAAATGGAGGGCCTGGTCTGAACCCCCACTGAACTGTTAGAAAAAATCATGCCCAGTGCCTTCAGATTTCAAGGGTCTGTGATGCCCAGGTCAGTGTTGAAGGCACCATAAGGGGTCAGCTTTTAATCTTCTGAGCTGCAAACTCGATCAGATTGCTGCCATTTACCATCAGAACATCTCCGGCGGCCTGTGCCGCGCCAGGTGAGGTGGGCCCCTCGGGAGACGGTCTGCACCATGCTCCGGGGGGCACCAGGATGACCGCAGAGCTGGGACACAGCGTGTGGGACACGGCGTGGGGGGGTCCGTCCCCACCGGGGACGCCGATTTTGCAGAGTGTGGCTTCGCTGTGTCCTCGAAAATGTCAGCCGACAAAGAACACTGTATTACGTTTGAAGTGTGCCCGACCACGTCTCGCCTGCAGTCACTAGGACGGGGAAGGGGTAACTGCGCACGTGTTAGGCGCCCACACGGTCGGCACTGGGAGAGTGTCTGTTCACGTCAGGCACCTGGGTCACAAACGCCCCTCACATCCCGGTCCTCTCTGCAGGGTGGGTTCGTACATTCATCAGGGTGCAAGCCTGGACTGGAACCTGCTAGAACACAGGAGGTTCTTGCGTTTATTGGCCAAGTGACCGAGAAAGGGGCCCAGTGGCCAGGAAGCGGCAGACTAAGCCCAGTGGCCAGGAAGGGGCAGTCTGCTTACGGCCTCTGTGCGGGCCTGTCCGTCCGTAAGTCGTATCACATACAACGCATAAAATAAGACTGTCTCCTACTCGATGCAAGCTGCTTTAAAGAACTGGTATCTTTTTGTATCTCTGTTTTCTGGTGGTGATTCCTGTGCAGAGAGCAGGTCCTCGACAATACTTGTTGCAGTAAGTGTGAGGCCCGAAGACATCTGAGGACCCACCACCACCCACCTGGTGCCCACAGTGCGCAAGGCACCGCGCTAACTATCCTCAGGGCCCAAAGATTTCAAGGACGATAGGAGGATCCCAATTACAGGCGAAGAAGAGGCTCAATGAGGCTAAGAAATGAGTCTCAAACTGCACAGTAATAGCAAACAAAGCAAGTGCTCGTTGGTGTGTGGATGTCCTCAACCCAGGACTGTGCCACTGGACCACAAAGGGAGACACTGACTCTGTTTCTAGGCCAGGACGGCTTCCCAGCCAGGAGCAGAAACACAGGCGCGAATGGGGAGGTGCTGCCGGCCCCACCTGGCCCCGACCCCCCCCCCCCCTGGCCCGAGAGCACCACGGCTAGGTACGTACAGGTCAGCACAGCCGGAGACCGGTTCTTCGGCACGTTCTCCTCCCTCTGGGCCACAAGTGAGCTGTTGGGCTCGGCCTGGTAGACGCACAGTGCCTCCCACTCCTTCTCCAGCCGGCTCTTGTTCCTCAGGTGGTCCTCCATGTAGGCCTGAAATGGAAAACACAGAGTCAGGGACTGCCGCCTACAGCCCTTGGCGGGACCCAGGACACAGAGGGCACAGCCCACGCGTCACCTGCGTGTATGAGTGAAGAAGCTGGTTCCTACCAGACCCAGTAAACACAGGCCAGCCAGACGCACAAAATGCAGGAAAGGCTTTTTACATGTTTTGCTGGTTGGTTCTCGGGGGTTCATGGTGCGTGCGTTCCGGGTACAGAGCCCAGGCATCAAGAACACTCAGCTGATGACGTGGCCTTGTCAGCTGTTACCAACCGACTGGGGAAAAGGCGGGCCAGATCCGATCAACTGACCAAAAGCTGGTGTAGATAATGTGTCCATGCAGATGCCGTTCTTCTTATAATTGGCCTACTTTTCCGAGTCCGATGGGTGTGATGGGCTTAAGGCACGGGGCTGCTCCGATGTGTGCAAAATGTTAAACAGCTTGTGGTGGTAAAAAAACCAAAAAACCAAAACCAAAACCAAAACCCAAAACAGTGGAACCAGATATCCTGACCCTCGGCTGCTTGGGTCTTAATTTTTCTGGGCACTTGTCCGTCAGCAGTGATCGCCGGAAGTGGACGAGGAAAGGCCTCTGGAACATTCCCTCCCACAAGGACAGCCACTGTCTATGCATATTCTCACGGATCTATGGAGTTGAGAAACGACCGTGACTTTAAGGAAAAGCATTTCAAATGACCAAACCTCAGCGGCTTTATTGTGCCCAACGGAAATAGTGGTCCCACCCTGGGACGCCGTGTTTGGGGGTCTTCAGTGTATTGTGTGTGGACACAGGTCTTCAGCCACATCCACAAACAAAATAAAACACACATGCACACGGGTCTAGGTCCCTAGTGGTTAGGCACCCCCAGGTCTAGTCAGGGTTGGCCCCTGGCCCCCTGCCAGCCCCCACTGTCCTCTCACTCCAAGGGAGCACGCAGCTCAGGCCCCTTCAAAGGCCAGGACAGGCCTGCTCCGCATCTCCTCCTGGGCAACAGCTCTGGGCTCAGCAGCACCGGGAAAAGTAACTCAGATCAGTCTTGTTGGCTTTCCACTCGTCTCACAGTTTGGACTACAGTTGACTTGAATTGGTTTGTGTTATTCACTCAACAAATACCAGCTCTATCCATGTCGGTCTCAAACCACGGAAAGCCGGTGCCCTGTGGGTGCTGTGGGACAGAAGGCATCGCCCTCAGGGTCTGCCTGGCCCAGCGGGTGAGGGGTGGTGGGGGCACCCAGCCGACGTCACCGGGAGGGCCAGCGATGGGCTGTGACCAGCAGCCAGGACCTGGCTTGTCACAGTCATTTAGGGACCTGGCAGATGGATTTTTGTGCAGATGACAGAGAACCACACGAGCCACGGCAGTGACATACCCTCGACCCTCCGAGGCACACCCTCCTGAGGAACAGAGCCTCCAGCCACTGAAGCCAAGGGAGTCGTACCAGCCCACCCCTCTTCATCAGCGCCCTACACTGTGACCTCCGTCCAGACAGCCCCTCTGGGTTCTTCGCAAGGGAAGGAAGTGAATTTAAGTGGCCTGATCCAGAAAACATCAACTACAAACCGCTTTTTCTTTTTGAGACAATCATTATAGAATATTAAATACAAAGTTATCCTAATAAGGACATTTTTGCATGATTAACATTTAAGTTTTGTGAAATCTTTCTCCAGCTAAAATATGGGGGTAGGGATAGTTCTGGCTGAAGTGTGTGGTTTCAGTGTTACTGTGGTTACTTTCCTCAAGATCGGATATTGTCTGCAAGAGGGGCACCGGATGTCACCTTAATCCCTGTAAACTGCATGTGTTTACATTTTCACGTTTACCTCAACGATGGGAAGTGAAATCACGCAGCGAGCTCACTTGGGTTTCTAAATTTATAGCAAGAAATACATACTGGGACTGTAGTAAGCAAGCTTGGGTGGTAGGAGGGAGGAGGGAGAAAGAGCAGATATGGACTATTTTTTCATTGAGAACAAAGTCATGTAAAGATACACTTGATTATATTAAAATTGAGATAACTTTTTCATTCTCTCAGCATGTGCTACTCTGGTAGCCTGTGTCTGTCATGCCCTGGTCATCTCAATTTGATCTGTTCTGTTAATATTTTTATGAAACATCATTTATGATATTAAAGTAATGTAATTTCCCCATTCATGGTTTTGGAGACTTTCCTCTTCCATGTTTGTGGATAAGATTCTTGCTTTTCATCTGTGACATGAGAGTATATTTTCATGTTGTCTGCGGGGAAGCTAAGCCTTAGTCATAAAATAATGTGTTTTTAAACAACACCCAAACCAAACTGCCACAGTAACTTAATCCTGGGAGGTCCTGTCTCTCAAGGGTGTGAGAAGTGTGAATTAGAACAGGTATAGTAACCCTCCTCAGACGTAGTCATCTTCTGGAATAATTGGTAAGTTAACATGTAATGAAACACTACTCATGTTCTTTCCCCCAGAGTGAGCATGTGGCTGGAGCTGTTTTAAAAACTGAATTCCAATACTTTTGTTTTATATATGTGTGTGTGTGTGAGAGTGAGCATGGTGGTAATGGTGGGAGGGCATAGTTTTTAAACAAACCGTACATTTTTATTACACATGTAGCATGCATAGAAAAGAACAGAAAATGAAAGGAAGCGGAATGAAAACAAATGCTACTAATAACTCCACCACTCAGAGCTAACCATAAGGCTTTGATAAACCCTACTCTCCTTGGCACGTGCATGGGCTGCTTTTTTTCTTTTTTTTCAGGGCTGATCACCATCGCTTCAGCTTTGGACAACATCCTATATTACAGGACTTTCTTCTCTGAGTTGACAAAAAGCTGAGATGAAACTTTCATCTTATATTCGGAGAAGCCAAGGCCTAGATTCGTTAAACCCTTGGCCCAAAGCCCCCAGCAGCCAGATGCAGCACCAAAGCTTGGGTCTGCTGCCTGGGACACTGCTGTTTTGTCTTGGCTCCCTGCTGCAACCTCCTCCCCACGCCCCTACCCTCACGTCCACTTCCTAGTTCACTCACAGAGCAACCGGATCACCACTTCTGGCCCCAGACACCACTCGTTTAAAAAACCACCAGTGGAGCCTAGACTAGCACTACCCTTTGTCCAAACTTCATTTGACTAACCTGCTCCTTTCTATCCCAATAAGACTATTTCCCAATGTTCTGACCACCCCCCACCCCACATCACCATCACTCTTTACATTTCCTTCACGCTGATTCTTCTGTAATGAATCTACCCTGACTTTACGGTCAGTGCAACAGCAGCATCTCCTTTGTGAACCTGGGCTGTGCTTACTGCCAGCCTCTCGGATCCTCATTTCCTACAACCCCACCCTCTTCGTCGGACACTTACTATTTTAAAAACTATGTCTTTGCACATTCTTCTTTGCGCTATAGCTTGGGGGTGTCAGGATATTCTTCCTCTCACGAGATTAAGATTTTTGAAAATGGAGCCAGTGTCTCATTCACTTGGCACGTGCTTTGGGCACACAGTCGATATTTGTTGGATGACTGCTCATAACCTGGAATTTTCTAGAAGTAATTTGTACTACTGATAAACATTTTATGTCAATGATGGCATCCAAAAAAATTGCCTTAGGATCTTCTGAAGTTGGAAGAACTGCCCCAAAACGTAATGTAGGGACTTTTGTTTCATTGTCTATTTCCTCACCTCCTTCTTGCTTTCTGGGTTATCCAGCCAGCATCTTTACAATCCACGCCAAGCAGGTGCTGCTGCATTCTAATGCTCCTGTGGCAACCCCAACGTAATGACATATTTAGAAACTTGGAGGCACCACAGCAGTTCAGAAAGCTCTACCTCCAACCCTTTTAGCTCTTCCTGCTGAGTCCAGGCCCCGTGCTGTCTCCCCCCGGTCTTCTCTGTCACTGTGTGAACTCTGTGCGCTGGGCAAGTGTCTCTCATTCAGGATGTAATACATGCCGTTACTGGTGTGATGAGGGATGCTTCTAGAACCTGTCGTCCCAGGAGCTGTGAGCATCTGCTGGTTAGGTACCCGCTTCACCCACATCACTTTACACAGTCCTGTTCCAGGTTCTTGTGAGTTCCTCTGAATGGAAACTTTATGAGAGAAGCCCTGAGATATGCAAAGTACTAGTTAATAGTACTAGAAGGAAACCAGCCACATGCAGGTGGGATCCCACTGTGATGTGCACGCTGAAAACGTAAAAGAAGTGAAGAGCTGGTGCTCAGTATTAGTTGCTTCAACTTGAAAAGTGTAGGTAAATTAATTTTGATCACTACTGCTGGTTCTTAAGGAATGTTTGGAAGCGTGACTTTACTCTTTTAGAATTGTTCACTATACCTTAATATTGGGGTGGCAGAGGTAGAGGCTGTGGAAGTGTTCTTGGCAGGAAGAACTCCCTCGGAGGAATTTTACTCAAGCTGGTTTTAGATCAGTCCTGAGTGGGGAGCTGTCTAAACCTTCTTGAATTCTGATACTTTCCTGGGACCTAGACTTAATGGGCTTGCAGAAAAGATAATCCCCAGATAAACTGTTTGTGGGAAAAAGCAGGCAGCTTCCAGAATGTGGGTTTTCCGAGTTAGTAACCGGGACACACCGGCTGACACCGGCCTCAGGCTCCGTGGCATTAGCAAGTAGAGCAGGTTGAAGATGAGCCAGCATTTCTTTTGAGTTTTTTGCCCAGTGAGAACGACACCAGCTTTCGTTAGCCCTATTTTATGAGATAGGAACCCAATCAGAGGTTCTCCTCTTTAATCTTCTTCATATGAGTCTTAACTCCTCATCTCTTATCTTTTTCTAGCTCATGCTATTAGATCACTGGTAGGAAGCCTACAGACATTTTCTGGGTCACAAGGACTATGTGCCACCAGATGACACAGCATCTGTGTTTCAGACAAACTGACTGGCCTCCACATTTAATGGGATGATTTTACACAGAATCCCAAACCTTTGGGACAAAAATGTTATTGCTTGGAGACATGTCCACAATTTGTCAAGGTAGCTTAAATATT